ATCCTTAGCCCTCTCACCACAAACAAAGGGTCCAGTGCTGCCACTTTCATCGTCGGCACGCAGCGGGCTGACTGAGCACGAGCACGAACACGAGCACGAGGCTGAAGGAGCAGAGAAGCGTTTCCCAGACATGAGGGACCTCGATCACGTCTTGGGTCAAGCCGTTGCCTCCAGCCATGATGATGACCAGCATGCGCGACCGTACACAGCCGCGGCAGCTGCTCAGCCTTCTTCCTCGAGTATGACGCTATCCCAGCCATCGCAAGCGCACAATGCTGCCACTTTCTCAAATACTCTCGGCGGCCTGAACAGCGACAGCGACGGCAACAGCAACAGCAACATCAAACCCCTCACCACGGCTCTTAGCAATGAGGGTACAGTGACGCCAGGGCAAGGATCCCAAAGCCAAACGTCGAGCTCCTTGCTGCAGGATGATTGGAGCGCGATGTTCGACAATCAGAATGCCTTGCAGCCGTCACTGCAAGCGCAAGCGCAATCGCAAGCGGCTGCCACCACTTCGGTCAGCTCACCCATGATTGGATCTTCTGCAACTTCAGCGCGAGCGCAGATCAACAGCGGAGGGTCAACCACTTGCGCCCCATCAGCCGCAGTCGCAGCCGCAACAGAGTCCAGCGCTCAGCCTCCTAATCTGCCCCCTCGACGCCCCACAGAACCACTTTCACCGACAATACCGAACACTTCAACACCCGTCCCTGATACTTCTCGGGATGCCGAGATCGCAGCTAGATTGGCTCGAGGTGAAGAGATTCAGATTGAGCCGACTCAGCAAAGTTCCAATATTGGTGAGTTGATGATCCCATACACGCGGCTCAGCGCACCAATCGGATCGTCCGACGTGCGGTGGTCGGGCGCGAAAGCTCGAGCGCTCTTGACACCCCCTGGCGGGTCCCAGGGCAAGGACTGGTGCAAAGAAGAATTTCGAGATAGCGCTTCTCTAGCCGCCGCTCCGGCGGGCTGCGACTTGCAAGTGATTCAGCACCAATGCTGACAGAAGGTCCCGATCCTTACGCACCTCAGCTTCGCCTACGTCCGCCACTTATGCCCCTCCTCCAGGTCCTCCTCCAGGTCCTCCTCCCGGCACTGAACATAGCGCCTCAAGCACTGCAAGCTTTGCTGCTGCACCTCCTCGTCATCCGTCATTCCGTCGCTCTAGCGCGGCGAACGGAGCGCCTCATAGGGCCTTAGTGGAGCAGCTTGCTGTGTCAGATCCAATTCCAGAGGGTTACTGGCCCCGCAGCAGGGCAATGTACGGGCAACCACTTCTAAATGCAGACCGCCTGCTGGTCGTAGCAAGAGGACAGCAGTGCCACAAATGTGAGTGTTTCCCGTGGCCTTTCGTACAATGAAAGTTCAGAGCACACTCTTGTTCGGTCTCTGGCCCAGTGAGGCTGCATTCGGAGCAGAGCGTCCGCATGATCTTGCTGACATGCTAATCTCTCAATCTACTGTCCAGGCTCAAATACGGGCTACAAAGGTGGAGATGCCTCGAGACCGTGTAGTC